AACGTTAATTCAGGCCCAAAGCCAGACTACCCGTTATTATATTTCATAATTTAAAATGGGATCCACATATTACGAATGCAAGCGTTGTCCTGCGTGATAGACAAACGCAAACGAACTCTTAGTACTCTTACATTTTGAGTACGATTCAATAACTGCTGAAAATTTGACTAAGAAGTAGGCCCACTTCAATTCCAGGTAAACATGTATGAATAACCCAGAATATTATAAAACTTGTTATGGAAACAACATCTGTCTTCCTTTAAGAAATTAGAAGAAATTAATTGAATTGAGATTATCTTTAAATTGTCATCGATTAGAATATTTAAATTGAATTACAATAATTCTTTGTCACCTCAAAATAATAATATATACTTTAAAGTATATAATATAGTTTTCAAATTTATGTACACCTTGTAATAGATTATTCTAATTTTGCAGTACCAATTCTTCCTGCATTCCTTCTGTTGATCCTATCGTCAATTCCTTATTGGCATTCATGAACACTATATCATTAGTACTACTCACTTTGCTTAGTACCACACGTAAGAAATTAATGTTCATCATTAATGTGTGGGTAACACGGTAAGGAATAATTTAGGTTCAAATTAAGCCAACGCACAAGGAGAATCTACTAGCTGACAATAATCAACATTTTTGAATCTGGACAATAACATCGATCGAGCTCTGAAAAATATTGAGCAGGTATTTTTGAAGCAAATAGCGAAAGAAGCCTCAATGATGGGTTTAGAAAATCTACTCGCCCCGACAGATGGAATTTTTTCAACGAAAAGTATAAATTAAATAATTGGACCCCTGAACAACGGATGACATTAATAATTTCCAAAAATATTTAATTTCCTATATAGTACACTAAAACTTAAAACATAATTTAATTATCTTTTCACTTAAATTTAAGAGTTTTCAAGTTATTAAAACAAACAAGTCCTCGATCAATCAACTTAAGGGTAGTTCACCTATCCAGCTAAAAAAAAATCTTTTTTATTATAACTATTGATTACAGATTATTATTATCTTTTACTAATTATCTTTTTTATAAGTCTATATTAGTATTCTCTGGGTTTCTATGACTAAGAATAAGTCGAGAGCATTTCGTGGTAAAAATATAAAGATGCTTGTCAAGGTAAAGGACAGGCTTTGAAAAGTTCATTGTTGAGTTGGTACGAAAGGGCGCAAGTAAATAATCTACATAGATATTTAGTAAAATGAGGAAACATCGAATAACTCGTACATCGTCCTCGATCGTTCTTCCATCAGCTATGACATCAAGGCCGCATCTGCCGCAATTTATCATAACAATAACGTTAAGTTCGTGACGAGAGAAAAAAGGAAAGAATGCAAAAGGGACAGGATGATGAAAAGAAACAAAGAAGATGAGTTTACAGAAATGTTAAAACGCTAAATAACTAAGCCAAGGTAACGTAGCTTTGACTCCCTCCGAACAGTCAAATAGTGACTTATTTTTAATTGATTCTTCAATCAATTACATTTAATCTTGACTAAATGTAATTACAATGAAATCTCGTTAAATTCAGTTTTATAAATTCCTAATGTCTTATTGTGAATCAGAATCATCACATAGAACTTCAATTACACTTAATCGTTAAGTTCTCATATACAATGAAGATTTATTGCAAATTCTAATGTTCCAATAATCAAGAATTGTTCATCAATTTAAATTTTAAGCACACGTGAAATTAGTCCGTGGTATTTGTAATTATAACAGACAAATTTACTAACACACGTTACATTGTTATACGGGATGGAAAATATCTTTAAGTATAAAATATGAACAGGATTCTATAACCTAAATAAATAAAATGTCAAATCTTCAAATTACAACGATAAAGCCTAGAAAGATCATTTTTTAATTTTCTTGTTGACTTTAATGTCAATAACTCTCGATCGAAACCCCAAGTATAGGTTTTGCATTTTTAACAAAATAAAGAGCATATTGTAAATGAAATACACCTTTACCTTCACTTAAGTCTTCATTTATTCAAACAATCAGTTAAATGGCGATAAATTTAAATAGTAGTACTTCAAACTGTATTTACTTTCAAGTGTATTACTAACTTTTATCTGTGATAAAATAATGTATGTCCACCTTTGATCAAATTTGTACTTGTCTACCCTGAATATAACAAATACAAAATATTTTTGTCAAATAAATTAATTTCACTTGTCACATACAGTCCATTTTTAACAAAGACAGAGGCTACATTTCTTTAATTACTCACACAATCCCTGCCTCTTGATTTCTTCATAGTATAATAAATATTTTAGTGACGTAATACATAAAATTATTTAGTGTCCACTAAGACCCAGTTGAAGATGCACTAAAGATTAGAGTCATTACCAATTGTTACTGTGATCAAATGTCAGGTACGTAATAACATATCACGATTGAAGAATGCATATGTACAGAAGGTATTCGCACAGTGTTAAATATGCATATTTAACAGACGTGCATGATTGATGTCAATTTGACCCGATATGGGATGTTGATTTTTAATTATGCATTTGGTTATACAAGTTTGGCAATTAATTTAACGAACGGCGCTAGGTGAACATATTTTTCCAATTTGATTTCAACTATGTTTCAATTGAACTTAAAGAATTCTAAAATAAGAACAGTTTAAACAGTGCACGAGGTTGAAAATCTAGTTATGGGTTCGGCTAATGTTTGAAAAAGTTTTTATATCTTACTACATTCTATTTCCTTACGGCAAAATGTTAATAAAATATCCTATACCATAGAAAGTATTCTCAACTTATTTATATATATATATATTGGACCCCCGAGCCAGAGTGTATTAAGTCCATTGTTTTTAAAAATAACATTTTATATTTCCTGTATCAAATTTTTCATTCCATCCGACGGTAAAAATTATTTTGCTCTAAGTCGGTTAGTTTTTAATATAATAGTGTGAAAATGATATCAAGTCCATATTTTGTTTCAAACCAAACAGTGTAAAACCATCACATAAAGGACTTAAAACAACGTTCACCATTTCTACACATCCAGGTTTGTTTCAAGTCCATTCAATAATTCGAAGATATCGATTGTTTTTCGTTCAGTTCCTACCGTATGTTTCCAATGTTACAAGCTTTTTGCATCTTTGATATGAAAAGTGTGACAATTGGAATCCAGATATACATATTTCACTGACTAACAACCTCGTACACCTAATATTTACTATCGCCTCAATTTCTTCGGAGAATATATTTAAATTACAATAAGACATTCAATTTAAACTAAATATAGTATATTTTACGACGAATATAAACAGTTCCAATTCTAACTAACTATTAAAGAATTATAATATATTAATTCTCAGAATTAATGTTCCTTAATCATGCCATTACATTTCGATTATACTTCTTAAGTAAAATCTAAAGTATTGTGAATCGTTTATCCTTTTTTGTAACCGTACCTACCTACATGCTAGCGAATATCTTCGAAACCGTTGATGATACCAAAAAAGGTTTCAGATAATGAATCAAAGAAGAAATATCAGAGAGATAAATCTGAATAGTTTGGAGGGCGAAATAATTTGATGCGTGTACTTTTTGTAGGTAGATGCATAAAAAACATATGAAGGTCAAATTTGTTTTTTTAAATAACAGTCTATAATTCTTAATGCATTAAGCAGTTCAGCTAATCATTCTCCATAAAAAAGCATGAAGCTACTTAAGCCAAAAATCCATTAGTTTAGCAGATATTTTAATTTCAAAATTGCGAAGTGGTACTAGTAGTCTTAATGTTGATGTTCAAAAGTACGTCCCTCGATCTAAATGCAGAAATTTACAGGGTCTTTAAATAATCTATCAACTCTTCCTATCATTTCTTTCGCCGTTTATTGACATGCCATCCATACAGTACTAGTTATTCCGAAATTGAGTACCGCTTCCCGATACTGAAATTAAAGTGTTTCTTGAACTAATGGTTTCTTGGCATAAATAGCTTCACACTCGTTTGTAGGGTATTACCAGCTGCATCGATTAATACATTAGAAAACATGATTCCATTGTAAAGAAAGCATATTCGACCTTCTTATCAGTCCTCTACTCACCCAACTACAAAAAATTACTGACATCAAATTATTTCCCCCTTAATACCATTCAAATTCTATGTGACATCATTTTTCGATATCATCAATGGTTTCTAAGATATTCGAGGGGATCGATTTAAATGACTCACCCCTGTATATTAATAGAATTATTCTATCATTAAAGTTGTTATTATTATTTTCATTGTATTTTATATATTTTTGTACCAAAAAAAGTACTACTTACAATAAATCATTTCAGTTGTCAATTTAAAAAACTAATTATATTTATCTATCCTGGTATACACTACATTGTACCAAGTACGAAGTTACGTTTCCTCGACATCATTCTTATCAATTCTTAAGTGGATTAGATTCTACACAACAGTAGTTTCTACTCTATTCTAGAAGGTACACAAGTAATAAAAATAATTTAAACCATAGATTTGTCATACGATTAACTGTTATTGTAAATTAACTTCTGGTTCGATCCTTAGGCACAAATAAATAATCGAAATAAAACCGAATTGTCAATTCTGTATCAGATTAAATTTTGCTCAACGTGAATCTCTCGATCATCACTCCCCTCCCCAATTCCTCCCCTCCCGTGTTTCACCCCACGTTCACCAAGATGTCCTACCTGGTAGCATCCTCTTGCACTCCCGCGAAGACTTTCTCCGAAAGACGGCCAACTATATAAGCCAGATCTCCGATGTTTGAACCACGTTAGACGAAATCTTTCGGATGTGTCGAGTAGGCTACGTAGCCTCTGTGCCTCGATCCTAAATCTTTAGTTTTTTTCTCGTCACCTCTGAACTTTTTTCCAACAAACGTGCACGTATCGAAGATATCATTCTCGTGGTTAACAGGCAGTTCGTGTATGTGAATTGTCATTCAACTGTATTTTTAAAACATCAACGACTGTCAGCCATGAGGCCCGCGAAACGCTGGGCCTCCCTGGCAGCGACCGTATTTGCTACGGCCCTGCTTTTGCAGCCCATCCACGCTGAGGGTAAGAAATTCCATAAAAATTCAACCCTTCATTCGTCTTAAACGATAAAATCGAGATAAAAATCAAATAGAAGTGAGATTTTGGGTTTTTCTTAGTTTATTACTGGCACAGTTCCAGAAACATTGAAATTATCATCGCCTTAGAGAATAAAATTCTAATGAAGATAAATAGATGTCATTCTTTGGGATTCGGTTGGTTTACTAGTGGCACAGCTATTTCACAATTCCATAGAAATAAAAATGTTCGTTATGTAATAAGAACATAACAACAATGTGTACAAAATAATAATGACATATGTTTATAATATTTTTCACTATTTACTCAAAGGAGGACAATAATGTGTTTACCAGCTACATTCTAGAAAGTTTTTCGAAGTTCTAGAATGTTTTTTTGAATCATAAATTTAATAGTAACATGACTTTATCACAAACAGAATCAAGTACATGGCAGTAGAAGTATAGCTTGAATTACAGTGTTTGTGTTTATGATGTTATAAAAATATTGCAAATTAACACTTATTCTAGAAAATTAGTAAATAGAATCATGTTAATTTGCAAATTACACATTACTTGCAATAAAATCGACTGTTGCCATCATTATAATTTGTGTAGTTACACTATATCTAAACAGTATCATCATTTCAATAAAGACCCGTCAATTAGTGCAAAATCCCAGAAAAATAGTACTCAGTCGAAAAGAACAATTCAGGATAACAGGCAATATTGATAACAAAATATTTCTATTGATGGGTATTCCGTAAATTCAAACTAATGAACCTATCTAGTAAACTTTATTCTTTTCCAAATTACTTCGATAATTGAATATATAAAATTTGTATAAAGTCATTAACATTTAACTGATAAAATATAAATGACCAATATCCTATTGTTTACTAGAGTGGACGTTTCTAAACTTCCTGGACTATTTTTAATTTTTGAATTTAAATGAATTGTGTTCTATAGTACGTATGTTATTTTCATCAATATTTCTATTAGGTCAATGCAGCAGTTTTGATGGATTTTCTGCACACGATTTAATTGCCACGTTATTGTGAAAACAGTAAACAATTATGTTAATGTATTATATGTTGATGTCGTTGTAACACAGTGAATAATTGTTTAAAACCAAAATTATTCTAGAATAACTATTTCTATTGAAAATGCATATGTTACAAAAGAATCATTATGTATTTCCTTAAATTATTGTTAAATTTTAATTCAATTTATTATTTTATTTATTCTTTTAGGGGAAAACCCATCAAAACGTTTTCAATGATCAAATATCGTATCCCATAATTAAGTTTCTAAGGAGATTAATACTGCTAAACGGTTTAATAATCAGGTTAATCTCTTAAATGAGACCGCCAAAATACAAAGAAAGTCGAAACACCTGAAAAACAGTAGAAAGTCGAGACACGCAATTCGGGGTAATACGTGATACTGATGTCAAGCGATAATGCGACGGTTAGCTAGACGTGCTAGAACTGTTGCTCCGCACTCTCACGGACTAAACCCGGCGAAGGATATACGAATAGATTTCGCGTGATCCCGACACGATAGGTTTCTCTTTGGCGACGAACAATCGTCGTTAAATTAAAATTAGACGCGAAATCGAAAACTCGGGACGCGAGATAAATAAAAATCGTTTGTGATAGTTCAGTGAAACAGGAACGAAATACAAAGCGTGGCTACCAGAAAACAGTTTTATACCTACTGTTCTTTCGCTTCTGTTAAAATTATTCTAATCATGTTATAAACCGTTTCTTCTACGGTGGGACGCTTACATACTAGTACCAGGAACGTCATACTAGAACAGAAACATTTTTGACGGAAATTGAAAGTAGAAAATTCTAACTAAATGTTTGGTTTTACAAACAAGAAGTATAAATTTAAGGGAGCCATCAAACATTTCGCGTCAACCATTTTGAAAGTTATTTAGACACGGCTCATAGAATGAATTATAATCATGCAGAAATTATTTTTTATCAGACGGGATATTCTACAACTGTTCTCCAAACTTTATTGTGGCAATAAATGTAACATTATATATGCAAAGGCATATAAAATAAATTACAAAATCGAAGTGTTTACAACTGTAGCTCTTTAACCCTTGTGTAGGCAACCGGGTACCCTGGTATCCAGGTACCCACTTTTAAATTTCCTTTCCCAATTTTTTTTGTTCTTCTCGGAAACAGCACTTGGTATATCCCTAATCTGTCAGAATAGGGGTATTCCGATTGCTCAATAATCGTGAATATTTTGGTTGCCCACACACAGGTTAATGAAACGTCAACTGAAGAATGTTGTCACAAATAGCACAAAGAGAAGTATCTACTTGCTGATGTAATTGAATAACAGAATATTGTTTAGAACAAATTCAATCGTATTTTGTAGAACAGATCACAAAATTTTTCGTCTTAATAGATTCTGAATATCGTGCTAATTGTCATTATTCAAAACGATACAAACGTATGTACACATGGGATATTTGAGATAACCCACTAATAAACTATTCTCTAATAAATAATATTAAACACTGAAATAGATCATATAATTATCTACTCCATCATCGTCTGATTTTATCAGTTTCATTAACCATATTTTACCAATTTGTAAAGCATCGTCATCTTAAATGTATTAACAAGAACTGTGAAAAATCATTTATATTGGGATAGCAGAAAATGAACAAGTACGTGAAAAATAGATATCGTTGACAAGTACACCCTAGTACTAACGTAATTAAATCTAAAGTAATTATGCTTACTAATCTAAAATTTACTTGAATAAATGATTATCTTCGTGTTTGATAAAAAGATCAGTTATATCATGTCGATAAAAGCTAATCATTCACTAATTACTATTGTCAAAACTAATTTACTATTGTCTCCCACTTATTGTACAAAATATTATTCAGTTGCGTGTTTCAATTACTTTAACATCGTAATAAAACTTACACTTCGTGGAATTAAAGTCAATTGCAAGTAATATTATCTTATTGATGTGTGCATTTAGTGTAACATTTATAACTACGTATGAATCCCGGTGAACCATGTATTTACCATCACTTTCGTCATGATTTTATAAATACGTTTTTGTCTGTGCATAATGTAGGCTAGCAAAGTATTATAGAAAGGATTTCGAACGCGATACTTTTACAAGTAATTACCGAACTCACGTGCAATAAACGCATTAGAAGCTTCTCAGCCGTCAGGTATGAACAGCGTATTAAAATGGAAAAGAAAGTGAATGTGACATACATCACTAAGGACAATACTGTGAAACATCATCGACGAAGTATCTTAATCACGACAATATTTTAGAAACTGATGACTAAGATGACGAAGATCTCTATGCAATCGCTATTTTGATACCGTGCACATTCTCTTAGGACTTAAAAATATTATATAAATTAATTATATCAGAACTTTGTTTCTCGATGGAAATCGGTTACGATCTACTTGCGACTTCACGGTAAGATAATCTGTTGAATTGAACAATTGTATTACGTTCAATGAACTTCCTTGTGTGACTGATTAATTATTGAAATTTCACGTTATACAAAAGACTGACGTACATTATTCGTTATGCAACATCAGCCGAATTGAAGTATAATCTTTCATGACTGGCGATTGTTTTTAATAAGGATTGAAGACGACAAAAATAATAAAACATTTAATAATATAAATTTTATTGATTATTTGAATCGTAGAAATTTCGTTGTAGGCTTGTGAATTTTGTCGAAGAAATGTAAATTGAAAATAATTTCTCCGTCAGCATTTATATAAAGTACATTAAAACTAATTAAAAAATTGGTTTTATAAGAACTTCTGAAATATTTTAAATTAAAAGAGCTTAAACTCTTAAGCTTATTTCAAGTTTAAGAAAATAAAGTAGCGAACTTGGAACATCAAATAAATCCTAATAATTCTAAAATATTCAATCACAAATACGATTTCTAGAACGTGCAAGGACAATAAAGTACCATCAAGGGAAGTTACAGTTACGTGCATATATACTTAATTAATAACAGTAAGTCGTGGCTCAGACCCCTGCAATTTCAGAGTTATCTCGTCGAGAGGGCAGGAATAGTAAGAGACAACAGTGTAAAGTTACAAGCTACGGTCACACGAATGATCATGGAAGTGTTATCACCTGGGGACTTTTCATGCATTCACAGAATAACTATGAATACAAGGACGAGAAGACAGAATCTCTTCATACAGTTAACATCGTACTTGTTTCTTTGAAGCTGAAAGATGGTCAAAGTTGATATTCAAATTATAGTTTGTTGTTTGTTCATAACACAATGTGAGACAACGTATTTTCATAAATATTCAAACATCCCGAAATAGATGGTACATACGCTAACGGTAACAGTAATTATTATATTTCCAAGGAAAAAGTACCAATTTTCATATTGTTGAATATTATACAGGGTGTAACAAAAATGTTATCCGACCCGGAAATGGGGTACACGGGGGGTGAATTGGTACAAGTTTTTCCTTAGCAACAATGTAATCTGAGGCTTCGTTACCGAGATATTAACGAAAAACTCGCGCTCTGATTGGTCGGGGTTTTTCGTTAATATCTCGGTAATTCTAATGCGAGAACAAGAAGACATACAATAATCTTCGTATAAATCTTTCAAGAGACAGTCAGAATAAATTTTGTTTTTCTTTTCTTTAGCTTTTACAAAACGTAATTAAACGTCGAAGAAATTTTTGGTTAAACCACACGAGGTACTTCAGAATTCGAGGATTAACGGAATAATTAAGGTTCGACGAAATCCTGTTATGTACTCTGAATTTTCAGATATAAAACATATAATAGGTGTAAATTCCACGACAGTTCTTTAGTCTCGCGCTATGTACCAATCCTTTTAATAGTACCGTAACACTTCGATAATTCATCACGATACAGAGCCGAGACCATGACAGATAATCGAATAGATAAATAACAGAATATTAGCTGTAAACATAAATTGACATGAGTGACGAATGGAGCTTTTATAACTTATATGCTACATGCGCAACACATCAATCATCGAAGTATAGTTCTGACGGTTAATAGAATAACGACTGACAAATAATCAAAATTCTTCAGTATCTAATATTAAACTGCAGTATTCAAATAATATCAAATGTACACTCACGAGTAAACTCGACTTCTGCTAGGGGAAAATGTGAGGTAGAGAAAGGGCCTCCTACTATTTAGTTTTGGGAGTTATTGAAATTTATGCCAAATTAATATTCGGTTTAACATTTATTTCCGAACTTGTCATAAATTTAGTAAATGGTAAGAGACTTTTCTTTTGCACCAGTTTTTCCCCTAGTGGAAGCCGTGTTTGCGCGTGGTTGTACAATATAAAGTAGTAAACATTAGATAGTATCTATTAATACTAATCAATAGTACCAATATACATATATATCTTACTAATATTAATAAATATTATTTAAGTAAATACTACAATATAGAACTTAAGGACACCAAGTGACCAAATATAATGGATGTAGCTAATATTTATCATATTCTTGTAATTAATATCCGTTAGAATTCCATTTATTGTCCCAATTCGATTTCCCTCCAAAACTACTCCAAACTAATGTTCGAAAGAATAAAAAATTAATTTTGCAGCACCAGTCTCGGGTAGCTACTTACCCCCATCGACCAGCTATGGCACTCCAAACTTAGGCGGAGGAAGCTTCGGTGGTGGTCCATCCTCCACCTATGGTGCTCCATCCGGTGGCGGCGGTGGACGTCCATCATCAACGTACGGTGCACCTAGTGGCGGCGGTGGCGGCTACAATGGAGGCGGTGGTGGTGGTGGTGGTGGTGGTGGAGGCGGTGGAGGCTATAACGGTGGCCCTTCGTCCACGTACGGTGCTCCAGGATTCGGTGGAGGTAATGGAGGAGGACCATCGTCCACCTACGGCGCTCCAGGACTCGGTGGAGGTAATGGAGGAGGTCTGTCGTCTACCTACGGTGCTCCATCAGGCGGAAGACCATCGTCTAACTATGGCGCTCCATCAGGTGGCGGAAGGCCATCATCGAACTACGGCGCTCCATCGGGAGGTGGACGACCTTCCAGCAACTACGGAGCTCCTTCTTCAGGAGGTGGAAATGGTGGTTTCTCGGTTCCGTCGGGATCTTATGGTGCACCATCCCGTGGAAACGGCGGTGGAAGGCCGTCATCGACTTACGGAGCACCCAGTGGAGGTGGAGTGTCTACTAGCTATGGCGCGCCTACTGGAGGCGGTGGAGGATATTCAAGACCTTCGTCGGCTTACGGTACACCTAGCACCGGTGGTGGCAGTTTCGGAGGGTAAAAGTCACGATATTATTTATTTTTGTTTATACGCGGTTACGATGAAAGTCTAGGTGTCTTAAGGAAGATTTTGTGAACAGGTATGAATTTACGGTTACCATTTCGTTGTTAAAACTAGTGAAAATTTCGATTCATTCTTAGCTGATACCGTGTTCCAGGTACAAAATTCCAATTCTGAACTTCAATTGAATTAATACTAAAATAGACCAAATGTATCGAAGTAACTTCATTTATTTTTCTTTGGAGCTAGGTCCTAAATGGAAAATCAACAAAATAGTTGCCAGAATCAATACAGTAATCGTTGTCTCATTCGACAGCATTTCAAATCGTTCTGAACCTTTTAACCTGTATTTCACGAATTTTTGAGTTACCTGATACATCCTTCAATATAAATATTTGTAGATCCATTGTACTTGAATTCATTGAACTCTACTATAATCGACCATTGAACAGTATTTGAATCAAATTTTAGGACACCTCGGATTTCATTGTAGATTAATTGAAACAAGCACGGTAGGTTTAAACGACTGTACAGATTGAATTACGTAAATTAGCCACCCCTAGTTACTCACTACTCATACATAGGTGGGTGTTTCACGACCCGAACGGCAAATATCTTTCTAGCACTTAGCACAACTTACCTATAAATACAAAAACACTACGGAATTTCGTGTATACAAGGTGTTTCATAATATGTGGGTATTATAGACGAATTAATCGCAGAGAAACAACGAAAGATGCCATATTTAATTGTTTGTTTGAAATCTAAGGACTTCTGTATTTCAATCATTCTCACGATAAATTGACTTATATCACAACTTTACTCCACCGATTATTAACAACAATTTGCCATGTAAAATTTATGTTACTATATTATCTGTATTATATTAATTTCTCATTCGGAACATTTTACAAATAATATCCAAAATATAGAGACTCATATGAATTCAATAATTTGTAGGCAACAGTCCCAACGTAGCGCGCATTTGAGTGCACCAGAAATCCGTGAATCAACGGAATCATGTACACACAGAACTCAAACAATACTTATCACCCTGCACCACGTGTGCCTTACACCCGAGCGGCAGAAATCATTCGCGCACTTAACACTATCTCCAAGATCTACAACTCAAAACAAAAACGTTTAAAAAGCTACTTTTCTATAATATTCCTTTAGCAATCTGATGAGTAGAATAGTTTAGTAAATTAAACTGTAGCGTCATAGTATCAAATTGACGCTATTCATTACAACTTCAGCTCCGGCGGCTACTCTGGAGGCGGCGGCGGTGGCTACTCAGGAGGCGGCGGCAACGGCGGTTACTCCGGAGGCGGCGGCGGAAACGGTGGTTACTCAGGCGGCGGCGGCAACGGTGGTTACTCAGGCGGCGGTGGCTACTCTGGAGGTGGTAATGGTGGCTACTCCGGTGGTGGCGGTGGAGGTTACTCCGGTGGAGGCGGTGGAAGTAACGGTGGCTATTCTGGAGGAGGTGGCGGAGGCTACTCTGGGGGCGGTGGAGGTGGCTATTCCGGAGGCGGCGGTGGTAATGGTGGGTACTCTGGAGGCGGCGGAGGTGGTTACTCCGGTGGTGGAAGTAGTGGAGGTGGTCAGAGCTACGCCAGTAATGGAGGTTACCAATACTAAACACAATAGACCTCGCGTGACGACCTACGACCTTGTTTCACCTTTGACGAAAGGGAACTCAACCGACGTAATGTCTAATACCTCTAACGTTGGAGATGTCAAGAGCCACTTGTTCAAGAAACTTGGAAAACGGATGATGAATGAAGAATCGAAGGTCGTGCCCGCGGGATCGGAATCATTCAAGCATCGATTCGAATTCAAAGTTTAACATCGTCGGACGAGTTGACCAGGCACGTTCCCGTGAACAGGCGGAAGAAGAAGACGGGAATTTGTTTTTCTATTCTTGGTCTCGGGTAGGCGTCTGCTGAGTTTTATTCATCGGGAGGATCGAATTTCACGCAAAATGGCTGCTGAAAGAAAATGGAAAGAAGATACAGAGAGGAGAGAAAGAGAGAGAAAGAGAGCGGGACAGAAAGAAAGACAGAGGGATAGAGAAAGTTCATTCCTCATTCAGAGCCTATAACTTATTTATTTTGTAAAAATGCTTTTTGTACTAATAAAACCGCTATGCTGGAAAACAATACTTACGCTGTGAAGTGTTCATTTTAACCCAACCGCGTTCGTCTGAAGTGAAGTATTTAAAATTCTAGTAATCATGGGACTAAAAACTTTTTTCATATACAGTTACTTTTAATTCAAAATATTAACAGCAAATATCTAATGTTATCCTAAACGGACATTCTGGACAGCTATTACGCGCAGAAGACACCTTTGGAATTTCGTGATACTAATTTGGAGCCATCGTGTACAAGAAAGGACACGGCAACTAGGCATAAGGTTAGTTGGACAGCGTATCCAGCCGGTCGATTTATTGATTCGCTTAACTCGTACACCGGGAAAGTATGAATAAGTAAGAGCTCTTTCTATTTCTGATGTAACCTAGCTAAACACGCGTATCGATAGGGCCTTACGTCGATACACCTCAGGTAGTATTTACCATCGTATATCCTGTTCTATTTACCACTTCCTTCTTAAAATATGTCACCATAATCGACCAGGTACACGCTATAATTGTTGCACGTATTCCTCTGGAAAAAAAGAAGGACTTCAATATTGGCCTAGAAGTATTATAATTAGCATTTTATGTTGGGCCTCTCGCGTATATAATAATTGAATAATAATAATGATAATAATAAGGTTTTATAGAGTGTATAAGTCATGTAATAGTATCAGTCTGTTGCTTGCGTAATCATTCAAGTGATTATCTAAACCCTTGGACTACCAGTCTTGGGTAATTTAATATTACCAGAAGTTAATTTTACATACATTGAGCCAGAGCAGATTTGGAGAAACACGAATTTCTTCGAGAAGGGTAAGCATAGCTACTATGTATGATTTATGTGTGTACCTAATAAGAGTATCTTTGCAATGAAATCGACAGTGGGGTTATGAACCAAAAAATTGAATAGACTACAAGAATTCTTAAAGAAAAATTATTTACAGGAACGGACCACATTACATTGTATATTCCATTATCTGTGCCGGCAAATTTGCAGTCAAATGTTTTCATAAGAAATATTTAAAGTAGGTATATCTTTTTAGCCGCAACAATGTTACTTACGATTTGAACCATATTTTTCTTGTATCGCATTATTCTTCATAGAGAGGCAAGCAAACTTTATGTCTAACATAATTTTCTATCTTCATACGTGGACTTTGAACTTAACAGTTGCAGTTTATCTAATGGTAAAGGGTAATTGTGAGTCCTAGACTTGAACGTACATTGACAAAAACAAAAAGATACGTAATCAATATTTTCGACTAAAATATCTACTGAATCCCATTACCAGGTAGACTCCCATATTTGACTCAAGAAGATCTCTATCCGATTTACTACGTACAGGGTGGGGCAATAACTATGTCCACTTAAAGAAAAATAGAGATGACCTTGAAATCTCCTATATGCCTTCACCGACGCAGAGAATGTTTGTGTCACAATATGCCCCCCTCTATACCGTGTAAGTTTTATATGTAACATTTCTTCATATTATTACAAATAATGGCAATATTCCAAGTGGACATAGTTATTGCCCCACTCTGTATAAATTATTGTCCTCCATATACGATGGTATGAATTCATTTTTACGTAACTCAAATATTGCAGAACTAAAATTCATTTCTGATTCTCGCGTAAATTGTAAAATTGCAATCTAACATATGCAATACAGTAAACTCTTATGATCTGTCACTGAATGGGAACTGTATTCAACATTGAAAAGTACTGTAAAATATAATTTATTATAGTTCAAGTGCACTCTATATGGTTAAATAAACTACCTATGATTAAATAAGCAGATAAATCAGTGAGAGAAATTCTTTAAATCATGTAGTAAATTTGAAAAATGTATTTCTTCAATATCTTACAATTAAATAAGCGGGTCTCATTATTTTTACATCAGTTTTCCTTTTCAGCAAGATTCTGTCGGTTGGATGTAATATTACTAATATTAAATTAAGAAATTCCATCTAGGAAAAAAATAATACTTTTATTATAATTATATTCTATTTAGCTATAATTACTTCAGGATAATTATAGTTTTAAAGGAATTAACGTGTTATTGTAAATATTGGATTCATATATTCAAATTAGATATTTTATTGCATGTTTCATTTTAAACGTTTATTAAATCTTCATATATGCGAAATTTATATACTTAATTGATATTCTATATTTTATTTTAATTTTCCTATGCACAATTTTAATCAGTCATCATTGTTAAATTATTTAATTTCAGCCAGTCATAAACTTAAAAAAAATAGTCGTTTATTATATCTATTCCTGCTCTTCTTTAGTCATCTAACATAGCGGTTTATTTAAAATAAGAACCTTAAAAAGGGTATTTATTATCTATTCTGTAATTTCTGAAATTAGTTTTTATACAAAATTTAGTATGTTTACTATGAAATATTTAATGCAATGACTTTACTCCATTTTTATGGGCAAATAAGATAAAAAATATTAATACAACACCTTTATCATTAGTAATTTATATATTTGAATTGTAGTCGAAGAATTTAGGACCAATCGTACTACTCCCAGAGTAAGAGTTATTTATCATAATATTACATTTTTCTAAAAAATATTTCACTTAACACTGGCACCTTTAAATTAAAAACAAACTCTACATTTATTATTATATTCAAAACACAAATAAAATATCTTACCACCAACAGTTACCAACAAGATGGGTCCCCACAACAAGAATCCAACACTCGCAGGGTTTTCACACGCCGTTTATTTTTAACATTTACAATCAACATCGCGTTCAGTTACTCAATTGTACAAGTACAATTTATGTTGTATAATACAATATATCGGTAACGCTTTCGTAATACATATAATGTGAGATAGGACGAAGATTACAACAACGTTAGGTTCGGTTTTTTAAAGCAGGCGAGTAAGTCACAGAACATATCGTTCCATTAACACTGGAATTTCATCGGAAAATTCACAAACTAGCTCGACTGAACCTCTTTGCGTTCGGCGTTCGGGCAGCCCATCGACCATACACCACTTATCTCAACTTTTCATTTTATCTATTTGTTTTCACCGCATACGGGAGCGAGAGGAATTAAGGGGACACCAACATTTATTAAAATCGTGTCCAACTAATTTTATTGACTTCCCATCGATCCCTTTCGCGAGGGGTTAAACGCTATATACATATATGTATACATACATATACAGCGTTTATATATAGTACGTATATACATGTTTTTTTTATTTTTTTGTTACTTATTATGTTTTCATTGCTTCCTTATCATACAAACTATACCTAGGATATGTTAGAGCACGTTTCATGATATGTATACGTTTTTTGTTACATCGTTAATTACAATGCACGTTGATATGTATGTCACCCTGACTGTTTTATGATTAACATTTATGTTACTACTGTGTCTGTATGTTTTTTTTTTATTTGTACGCGTCTACATAATAGCATAATTTCTTCTTTTCATTTGTTAAATGTGTGTGAAATAGTGTGGTGTATTAACACATTCAGGAAAGCATGACTTTTTCTATTGTTAACAAATACCTTCACTATTTTAGTTCTTTCAAGGGCTACACAGATGTCTAACGTTCTTTGACAATACAAGGTAAAAATTACGTGATCACAGGCGGGCGTTTTTGCTGCGGGAATTTTTGTTAATTGCACAAGATGACAACTCACTAGTGGTTCATGTTGACTATTTTAACGTTACATCCATTATGACAGGATGTTCGACAGTGACGATCTTAACTATTCTAATATTTTATCAGGTATAGCAGAATGGTTACCATTGAAACACGCTGCGTAGAAGGCTGTGTCTTATTTATAATAGGATGGCCACCAGTAGATCGCATTGCCTAATTGTTTGACGATTTAGTAATCAAGATGGCCCCTAGCCGGTCTTATCGACACTTTTGATGTTTTATTCACTATGATATTGTAGAATGATCCACCGGAAAAGCACACTGCCTGTACATATATTTTATTCATTATGATAGGTTGACCCACAAATAAGTCACTTAATCAGTGGAAGTTTTTATTAATAATCACAAAATGACCTATGAATCAATAGGTCAATGACCTATCAACGAGCCACGCTGTCCTGAATGTGTTATGGAAATTGCGTCAATCTAACGAAATGCAATCAAATACACCTTCCACTCTGGTCAGCCAATCGATAAAAGAACTGAACACCTAAACCAATCAAAATATAGGAAACACCCTAAAATATGTCATCTCGTCAATAACAACTTATGAAAGTGACACCTTTTCCTTCGAAATTGTTATAAAATCGTAACATTCTACGAACTATTTCATCGAAGTTGCACATAAGATGCTACGTTTTTCAATCAACCTTTAAACAAACTTTTACAAAACTTTTCTTAGCAATGATAATTTAATTTTCAGCAGTTGGATAAAATTAAAGATTGCAAAGACCAAGAAATCATTTGATGTTAATCTATCACCTTCCATTTCGTAAATTCTCTTCTCGTTTCAAGTTTAAATATACCATTACTTCATTTAGAAGGTCAAATCATTGATTTACAGTTTCAAAAGCATTGA